ATCCCAGCTCTCACAAAAATCGAATGATTTATGTAGAGCATATCTATTTGTTGCCTCCTTGTACCAATGTTTATGTGTTTAAATAAATAAATAAAGTTGGATGCTAGGTTGATGTAAAACATTGTGGATTACTATCATAATGGAATGATTTTTCCAGTACACCGCTAATGTAGGAAGTATGCATTTGTATTCAACAATGTTGGTGTTTGAGAAATACCCTATTTAAGCTTGGACCACACCACAGTGTGAGAGATTGGATTTACTTTGATTTCAGTGACTGAGATTTTTTAAAAGTATTATTTTTTACTTAGTGCTTAACACAATTTTAATTTAAAATCAGTGTCTGTGAATTAATTCTAAGCTCATCAAGAATAGTATATCAGAAATGAAAGGTATATATATACATATGTAAGAAGCCAATATGCGTACTATGAAGCAATGAAACAGTAGGTAGAATGAACTGTGTACATAAACCTTGTACTAGAACGCTTTCTTCCTGAGGAAAATTGATAAAACACTTTCCTTAAAAAGGTGTGGCAAAATTTTGCGGAATTCGATTTTTAAATGTTGAACTAAATCAAATGTATCGAAACATTTAATGTGTGATAATTGAACTAGTAATCTAACTGTTATATTATTCTATCATGACAAACTATTACTTCATTAAGAGTCTCTTGTACCTTCATTTAGGTTATCTATGGATGTTTCATTCATCTTGTACACCAGGAATGTGGAATTAGAGTTAAACAAGTTCCTCCCGATCTAGATATTTCATTTAAACTGGATAATGATTTAAGAAAATAATCCTAACACATTAATTCTGCAATACAATTCCTGTAAATTTATGATAATCAATCCGTCTGTATCAATTTACATCTTATGAAATAATGTTTATCAAAGGAATAAAGAGTGTAAGGAACTTTGAAAACATTATTGGACTGTGTTGAATCAGTCAGAGATCAGCATTGGCGATTTCAAGCAAGCATAAGTAAATGGATTTTGCTAATTGCACAAAATTAATTAGATTAGCAGATATAGATGTTCACTAATTATTGTAAAAGGTTTCCTTTCGAACAGTTCAACTAAAGATCATCAAGGATTGTAAATAGTTAACGACATTCGATATAATGCAGCTAATTTCTAATACAAGTAGCTGTCAAATCAGGTTGTTAAAGAATTATAAATTTGTAAGAGGTAACAATGCTTTAATCCGCAATATTTTACCAGTTGAATAGCGTATTTCACTATGAGCCTATGCTTTTGGAATTTATAATGAATAATGTCTGGCTGCTGCATAACTAGAATGGAAACTATACAATAAACAATGCGTTTATAATAATAGACAAATTTTTGTGGAAAAATGATATTTCTGACGTTTCGTGACATGATGCAAGCCACTTCTCCAGAGTATATTTATGTATATGATGTATATTAATCGTAGAATCTAAGTAGAGAGCTTCTTGCCAGCTATTAGTTGTATCCCGAGCAAAATAAACGTAGCCCAAAATTTAAGATTTTTTCGTGATATAATTGACACCTGCTCTAGGTATTGTTTTGAAAGAGTAATAATTGTTTGACCTCAATATTGTTATATCCGCGCCACTGATTACTTATAATTGAAAAACATAGAAACACTGTAATTCACACGACGTAAAATGAGAACATCAAGACTGGTACGAATGAAGATTTATTAGCTCAAAAACACGACGACGCTAGTCGAAAATACACTAATTTAAATGTAGTCAACGAAAACTCAAGTGAAAACAACCAATTTATTAATTCATACAAAACTGCAGAATATATTCTTAAAATATGAAAACCATAGATTAAATTCTGCATCTGTATATCTTTCATCAATTGTCCTTTACATTTTGTATGGTTCATCCAATTCACTATTCCTTTCTACTTTCCTTTTTTCAATTCGATCTTCTTAGCATTCTGCTAACAGCCATTCAACTTTTGATTGGTTTACATAGTACTTATATCTGTCGACATATGTAGCATAAACCACATATATATGGATTGTGTAATATTTCGATTAATAATTGCGATAAAATCACATATATGAAAAATACTCAGAGTTATAACCAATCACATGCAGCATGTCATTGCTGAGGATAGCTCTTGCTGATTTACTACAAGAATATCTTGTCTTGAATAAAACATCACATTCGAATAGATTAATGATAAACCGAATAAATTATCACACTTAGAAACAAAACAAATACTACACTGAGTAGTTATCTCACGTTGAATCGGAAACGAAAGTAATGCTGAACAGGAAGCATAATAAGTGAAGAAATGCAATTGTGCCTTTTTAATCCCGTCATATCAAATATCTTATATATATGAAGTATTATTACTGTGTTTTGTTAGGGTCACATCTATTTCTCGATATAGATCGTAATAAAGTCATAAATCAATATAAGATTATGAATTTATTTTGTCTTGACATTTTTAAATATTTGAATTCATGTGTCGATTAAGGCTAAAGGACCATGAGAATCCTAGAAGCACTGGATGGCCGATTCCTCCCAGTATGGGACCCCCCAGCGGTGGGCATCCATGATAAAGCCGTTGGGATTCGAACCCAGGGCATTCGGTCTCGCGCGCGAACACTAACTTCAACCAATTCGCTGTATTGCGCCACCGTCCACCATTGTCTCCAGTGAATTACTATCTCACAACAGACACGGTTGAACTCCAATGGAGATCGAAGATATTGAGTTCGAGTCCATACCATTATAGTACAGTTAAACAGAAAGTTTTAAAGATGGATTTTTGGCAGAATATAGTTTTCAATTAATACTAACAAATGACAATTAGATCTGCAGAACTTATAGTGAATTATCTGTAATCACATTTAATGCACATCTTTAAACTATCTCTTATAATAAAACGTGATTTTAAAAAATATTTTGCTTACATACAACCATTTAATATTTAATTTTACATTTGTAAACTGATTAGCTTCCATTTGCTCAGGCATTGTTTGCCGATCTATTTTTATTTTTTGTAAATTGTGTTGTATTATTGCAATTCACTGGAAAACCTTATAAGTATGATTATTCTTATTTTATTACATTTTTTTAAACTTTTCAATACCCTGTTAACTTGCGTCGTATTTATCACAGCAAACTACTGTATACCTCAATCGTTTACGGTAGTTAAAAGACTCCTGTAGAGTAGTTAAGAAACAAAGAATGTTAGAATGAACAATATTTTTTGATAACTTCTTCAGGTTCTACATTTGCAAATCCATAAATAGTGTACATGATAACAGAAATATTAAATTTTGGATACCTAAAGCTTCAATTCTTTTGAGCTTGTTAATACACATGTATGAGTAATACTGTAGATAACAATTCTCAACGTATATTTAATGTCAGGATATAAAAGATGTAACCAAATGTGATGAGATACATGTTGTATTTTCCTAAATAGACAAAGTTTTCTATATTGTGTCACTTTTTATCTTTTTTAATACAATATCAAATTTATTTTCAGATGAGTTTTGTGAATATTATAGTAATTTCAATGGTTAAGATCATGAGTCACTCGAAGCCAGACCACCATGGAAAACATAGAAGCACTGGACGGCCGTTTCGTCCTATTGTGGGACTCCTCATCAGTGCGCGTCCATGACCTCGCCCCCTGCGAGACTCGAACGCAGGACCTAATGGTTTCGCGTGCAATCACTTAACCACTAGACCATTCAACTGGCCGGCATCCAACGGTGTTAATGTCTAACTTCAACTAATCCATGAGATTGAGCGACACATCCACATTGTCTTTAGTGAGTTACTATCTCACAATGGACCTGGTTGACCTCCACTGGTCAGTACTTCTCACTAGAACTCCAGAATATACCCCTTGAAGACAGTCACTTGTAAGCATATGTTTTATTGTTTGGAAATTCACTATGTCGATTGTTTATGTTATGACCTCATTTATCCACCTCCCAATATAGTCGAAATTAAGTGCTTATCTCGCTGTCCAGATGTTGAGCATTGATGCACGATACTGAAGCCCCTATGTTTGACATCTGGCGAGATAATGGATGTTCACTGCTCAGGACTCCCTACTAAGACCAGACAGCTGTTCACTACTTCTTCGTTTTAATTATTCTCTGACTACGGCCAGTCCGCTATCCGTACTAAGAAAATTTTACTGTCTCGAAAACCCGTCATGCCAACTGTTATAACTCGTGACTTGTGTCCTAATAATGTATAACGTAATGATACCGCCAATTAGAGAACAGTGAATTATCGATTAGACAAATGACGCATAAAACAAGTACGAGCAGTCTACAGTCCTTATCGGTCGTGCTTCCCAGCCAGTTAAGTCCAGAACGCCAATCTCAGCCTCTAAAATATGAATCATTTATTTCAAACATACTGGGTTTATATACCAACCAAACAGACCACATCGTACCATAAAATACGAAACAACATTTGCACAAGATTTAGCCCAAAGTGGCTGTGAATATAGGAGGTAGTAGTTGATAGACTAGGTATAACTCAAGAATGGCAAATCGTATAATAATAGTTCATAGGTCAAAACGAAGCTGATAATAAGAGGGACATGAATATAAATAGTTTAGTTACTTAACAATTGTACGATAAAAATATACGTTTAGTATTGGTCCATAAATGGATCCCAAAAGTTACCATTCATTGTTCTCATAACACTAACAATATATTCTTGTTTCACGAGAATGTGCGGTTGTTGTTAAATAGAGCGGACATGTAGATCAGTTAAATTCATTCAAAGATTTTCTCATCCAACATTTTCATAATTCTGAGGTTCTTATACTGATATGAAGTTTTGTGACCGATAAATAGGTATTTAACATGAATAGTGAATAGAATCATAAAATAAAACCAAAGATGAGAATTGTGTATTTTAAAAATTTATTTAAGAAGATGCAAAAAAATTACTCAAACGTTCTAGCGTCGCAAATCAACTTTAAGGCGGAGGATATGTAATTCACATTACTTTCACCATATATCGCATTTTGTATCAGGATTCATTGGTGAACCAACTGGACATCCATATGCATGTGCGAATTCTTTGCTATTAACCAACGCCCCGAATACTCTTGGAATGTAGAAAAAACAAAATTACTTCGTTAGTTTGTCGAGTCGTAAACTAAATACAGAAGTACTATAAAGATTGCAAGCTGAAATTACTGTTTTCTGAAAAAGGTTCTGAAAAGGTAGTTAGATTCAAAGTAAATTAGGGGGGTTGTACACCACCGGAATTCATTACTACATGAGTTTTATAGCCATTTGTATTGTGGGCCTAGTAAAATAAGTACAGCATTCAAAGAAAATGATGTTGATTTCATATAGAAAATCCAATGCTATATATCTGTGAACCTTCGTTATATACTGCATTATTCGAAATAAATAGTTTTCTTTCAAAAATGGCAACGTTGGGTACTAGTTTCTTAGAATTCACTGAACGTATTGTGTTATGTATGTCATCAAAATATAATTGCTACACACATTTAATTAGATATTTTTACGATAATATGAATAAAACATTCACTCATTTCATATGCAATTTCAATTTCTGTCAATGCTCACCTGTATCTTTCCATTACATGTGGAACAACTACTGAATGTATTAAAAGAGAAGTTCCACTATGATGTCCACAAAGAGACTTGAAAAGTAATTAAAAAGAGAGATTTAATAAATTGCTAATTATAATTTCAACAAGCACCCAAAATCATACAGTTAACTTTAAGCAAACACCATTCCTATCATACTTTTGGCATTCATATTTCATAGTTATATAATATACCCTTGCGGACCAGGGCAATTTTACATTGTTTTTCAGGAGAACCAGAAACCGTATAGGCTTTAACGCTGCAATCTGAATAGTACAGCTCAATCCTGTGGCGCAACCACACAGGTTCCAAGCACCCTTGTGAACCATTCACACCATTCATATACACATTCACATCACCTGTGTAGTTATTCCGATCAATGATCGCGTGAACCAATTATTCACAGCACGAACAGGCCAAAGTCGACCTATTGCACATACACCACAGTCAAACTCATTAATGTTAGCAATGGCGACATGCCTTACAATGTCACAATGACAATGGCCCTTGAGAACACTGAAAGCCAACCACCATTATGAATGAAATCGGTTAACCAGCAAACCAATTTTGTGCATGAACAGTCAGAAAAACTTGCCAAAACAATGCCGAACCATCCACAATACCAATGGCGAACTTCCAGCCTCATATTAGACCTTCAGCCCTACATAGCCATATAGCTTATGGGTTTGGACACGTATAAAAATGATATAAATACTTAAGATATTTGATCAAATTCAAGAAGTTTTCAAATGAATATATTTGAGTTAGTTGGTAATTGTCGCTTTACCAATTTATTTATTGGTCTACATTTTCAACTTGATTGATTTGTTAGTTTCTATTGTTTAATTGATTTCACTAGACTGGATGGAAATTTTGCCAAGTTGGAGTTTTTTTCTACTAAATTTCAAAATGAATTTCATGATAATTCATATGCAAGTGAATGATTCACAAATACGTTTGATTTTGACGCTTTATTGAAAATAGAGTGAATTGATAAGTCTCCTAGGCTTAATAATGTTGTTATGAGTTTTGTATCCTATCTGATAGATTGTAAATAGAATAAATCGGAAAAGAATTCTGTAGTTTGAGTCAATGTGGAAAAATATTTATAGGCATTGAAGAAGCTATCAGTAGCTAAGCACATAACGTGAAGGTATTTATGGCGACTGGTCCCAGAGTGAACATCAACTATGGGGCACAGGTACATCCAGATGAAGAGTCCTAAATTGGTTGAATCGCACTTCCACTAAAATAATAATGCCAGCTTTGAAATATGTTAGTGAATTAAATCTCCAGGTAAAAATTTAGTAACAAAATAATTATAAATGAACGAAATATACGATGAGCACTGGTTCCTCATAAGTAACTTAACTTTCTATGGAATTTCGTTATTACTTATGTATATTACTAATGTGTACTAAATTCCAAATACAACAAATAGTATAATATAAAAGTAAATATCTCTAGACATTTTGATAAAACGTAGTGATTTATAACATGAAAGAAAAACTGTGACTTGCTTGTGCAAATGAGAGAAAGAACAACTGATCAGATATAAGGGAGAGATTATAATTTTGATTAACACTATTCGAATACTTCTCATATAAACGCCTGTACGTCTAAGAAATGTAAATAAATTTATATAATATAACGATTATTATAAATGAGTTAATGTCTCTCTAAAATATGGTTGCGTTATTGTTATAATGGAATATTTTATAAATGTATACATGGTTTAAATGGAGAATACTTAACTCAAAGATTATTGATAGCTTAGTTTTTTTACTATCAACAATCAAAACACATACACAGATTGTTTCACATTGTTTGTCGATGTTGAATGAGAATTTAGGGAAAGGTTTCGACGTATATTTATATAATGGACAGGTTTATGGTCTGAGTTGTCTACTATTCTACTCAATGAATAGACATTGAATATTCACTCTAAATAGTAACTAATTCACATACTCTATGATATAATTCAATCCACTTTTCTGAATGATGGATTATTCTGAAACATAGATAAAACTTCTTTTTTGTTTTATCATACGATTGATCTTCACACTTCAAAATAACAGTGAACTTTACAAACTTGATAGACAATACAATATCATTAGCCGTATAGAAGATTGTAAAATCAGTTTTTGTCTATTGTTTTTTGTATTCAGAATAACAACCACTGACTGTAAAAAAGGAACGTCTGACTTCAAATAGCAGACGACCTAACTCAAAATCCAGTCATTTAAAACACGTATTGTTAATGGAGTTTTTGCACTGATATAGTTGAGCCATATCCTTTTAAAATCTGTTTGTTCAATCTCTGTAACTTTAGTCTGATTAAGAGGTGACCAATTTTTTAAAGCGCTGAAACAAATATAAAAGTGCAATCAATATATCGACAATTTGATGTTGTGAATGTTTATCTGACTCGATGTTTGGTGTTATTATTCACTTAACTAGTTGTACAATATTTATTTGGAGTTGGTCGCCAATTATTGTTCTTCAATAAATAGTTATGCCATGTCTAACTCAGTTGTTCGTTCTGTTTCAGCAACCGGTTTTAGGCATCTAAAAGTCTTCTGAAATCAGAAGAATCGCTTAACCGAACTCATCGTTACAACATAGCTAATGTGCTTAATAGTGTTTTCTCACAATTGCTTGATCACTGGATAGTGATTAATGTCAAGTATTTAATTGTTATCTTACTGCTGATCGAATTCTATCGATCAAGTTGCTATGTGGCTACTAGTCTAAGTGACTCAATGTCGGATGCCCTATGTTATGATGTAAAGTGTTATAGTTAGAATACAGGAAACCCTGTTTGACCATTCTATTTTCTACAAGTCGACGAAATGTTCCTGTAATCTTGAGGGTGGTAGTACTTCTGGCAGATCTGAATAATCATCACCCGGCCTCACAAAAAGCCAAAAGGGCTATTGAATTACATTATGAATCAATATGTCTACCTCATAAACTTTATGATTTATTCAGAGGAATAATTGAGGATACTTTTTATCCTCGATTTAATGTTAATCCGTTTATGATATTTTACTGACTAAACAGAATTTTATGCATTAATCTTTCAACTGACAAACTATGTACTGTAGTTTTATGTGTTTCTATTTAAGTAATCCAAATGTTTGGTATTTTACTTCAAAGGTTCCATGTTAATAGACATTTCTTATAAGTTGCATAAATGTACTTACATAGTAAGACGCTTTTAAACCTCCAATATCGGCTAAAATTTCATCTCGTGTATCGGTTTGAAGGGCCTAGATAAATTAAGTAATTCAAAAACGTGTTATGTGAACATTGAATTTAAGCATTTTGTATAATTCTGATTTTACATTGAAATGCTCCATGTAACTTCATGACATAAATTTTATAAGTTAGTCTACATTATCTATAATAGTCGATCATCTCGGACATAATTAAGACATTATAAATCACTTTGTAAGGAACTTGTAATCAGTTATCACTTACGTTATCCCTTTCATCATAAAATGTATTGCAATTTTAAGATTATTAAATCTCCCTAATGATTTGGTATTAGATAAATGTTCTAAAGTGAACTCATATAGGTTATATGAAATTCAGGGTTAGAGTAGATGATATCGGATTGTTTTCAAAAACCATTATGGGGTAAAATGGTAGCTAAGCAAAATAACTAAAAGGAAAAAAGGCTTTCAGTGTACATAGTAAACATTTAATTGGACAGTGTACATTCATTATGAATAATGTTAACTACACACATTACATTAATAGTGAGTCCCGTAACATTTGATTTTCACGATAAAGGTGAATTAAGTAACATAAATATTTTTTCGGTTCATATATTTAAAGCGATTAGTCCCTTTGATAAATTTCGTTAGTGTAATAAGAAGATGAAGATTATCAGAACGATGTGATATATTAGCGCAATACATTACGAACAATCTGATCACACATAACATGCTTGTTAAGAACATTGATCAAAGTCAACTAGGCTGGAAATGGGTTGGCGTGAGTTTAACAAAATAAGTAAACCGGTGTTTTGTGTAATGCTGACCAAATTTATATTCCTTGACAATCTTAAAACGTTTTAAGTTAAATACAATTCACATGAAGGTTGTTGTGTTTTTCTTTTTATACTAAATTATCGAACTTCTAAGTGCTCAATGACTGCACAAAAATATAGGTATACTTTCGTATGCTAATACCTATAATTTATTAAACTTACTTTGTAATCGGTAAATTCATAAAGTCTATATTGATCACTAATACATGAAGTTTTGGTTTCTATCACAGAAGATAACATAAGACCAGTCAAACCAGTTAGACTAGTACCAGCTGAATCAAACAGTACACCTTGAAATTCAACAAAATTAATGGATTATTATTGATTAAAATGATAACTATTTTTAATATATCATTTTTGACATAATTAATAGTTTCCATATTCAGTAAACAGTTGACAAATAAATAGTAGAAGGAAGGGTAAACAGAAATCAGTGCATATTTGTTTGATAACCAACAGTTTGTACATCAATCGGAATGAAAGACTAAAACAATGAGTTTGTCAGAAACTAACACAACAGACAATATAAAAGGTGGATGGTGTCTAGCAGTGGAATCCAGAATACTCATTTCGTTCTATTTGGGACTTGTCAATTAGATGAACCTACATCCTAGCTCTACTTATAATGCTTACGACCTAAGACAATATCAAGCCGATCTCACAAAATGCACGTATGCCAATAAGAAACTAATACATTGCAGTCCTAAACATCAATAAGAGGATTCAAACAATCAGTATTAAAATGAAATTAATATCAGGACAACAGCAGTCTAATTTTGTATTCGAAAACGAGTCTGATATTCAGTGTATGGTAACAGAGTAATACTCAGTATCAATTAGTCGGTGATTTATAGAATAAAATGATTTTGTGAAGTTCGAAAGATTAAAAGTATGGAAACTAATAAAAACCAAATTATGAATCACATAATTCACCGATTTCTAATGAAAGTTTCCACTAACTAAATGTACCTTCAATTGATAGTGAGTGTACTCTCGTGAGACGTGGATCGATGACACAAATGAGCCTTTCAATCGTTGTTACAAGTAATCGATATGAGTGTGAACTAAGCTGACATGGATGTGGTCAAGTATTTAATAGTCAAGCTGAAAAGATTTAATATTTCGTTCGAAGTACAACTAGACTAAACTAGACTAGTTGAAGCCAATCTACAAATCGCTGCATGGTATCACTAGCAAAATGTTTTATGCATTACTGAACTAAACTGAAAGTTCAGCCTGTTATTGTATTTGAATATTTAAATATTGTGAAGATTGATTAATGGATTCTTTCTATTCATATTATAGTGAATTGTCGTGAGATCGCCCTCCTTTCTGTGATGTGCTGATTTCGAGAATGTATCGATACAGGACACAGGTGGTATTTTGTGATTCCGTAATCGTCTTGCGCTTAATACTAACATGTGGAGATTGTACACGATGACAAAATATTATTCAGATATTACGTGATGTTTGTCCATAAGGTTAGTTTTAACAAATGAACAACAAACTGTGATCGTCAAACTCAGGATGTTGACATTTTGTTGATATGCAAAATAAATGATTCTGATCAATACATGTTAATAATTAGTCAAATAGTAAATTTCTCTATGAATTCATAAGACAATTAAATGATATTGTGGTTTTATTAACAGTATTATACCGAAAGTAATAGTTTTATACAAGTTAATTAATATTACTTTTAAGAAACTGAAAATTCAGTATACTGATTGAACAAACCTTGGATACCTATTCCGTGCATGATCTCATGACTTATAATCCAACCAAGTGCTCCAAATTTCGAAGCTAAACTACCATTTTCATAATAAAGTGGAGGTTGCAACACTCCAGCATTCACATAAACACGGTTTGCATTTATATTGTAATAAGCGCGAGTTGTAAATATCGGTAATTCTAAAGGAGATCTATTCACATAAAAAATAATAATCTTGATTAATTATGTCGTCATCTTTCACTGAACGTTTGATAGGTTTTTCAACTTAGAGGACAACTGTTTAATTATGAATAACGTATAATAAAAACTGTGACAGTTTTATTGCAGAGTTCTTGAATGCATTGATAGTCAACTGCGAAATGTAGTTTTTACCTGAGATTAGATTTTCTACTCAATGAACCATTTGATATTACTGAGCAATATTTATCAATACTCTTATAAAATAGTTATTTATATGAAAAGTGTCTAGTTTACATTCAGTTTCCATGTGCCTTTAAAAGTGAATATGTTTCTATCACTTTAGAATGACTTATTTTCGCTGTTTAACACTACCTGTGTCTCTATTGAGTGACATGAACGGATGCTGAGAAAAAAATAATCAAAGTTCTAGGTACCAAGTTACATGTTCATCTTCATAGGTAACAACAACAAAAACTACTACAACTACTGTTACTAACACTAATAATAATACAATTATTAACAATAATAATCACTCTATTTTCATAACTTAAGTGAAATATTTCTGAAAGAAAATTATATTTGTAATACACTCCGAGACTGGAGTTACAATAAATCCAACGTTTTACTCCATGGTCTGGTCTGAACTTCGTCAAGTGAAATATTATCATTGTGATTTCTGTTCATAATTTTTCGCATTGTTACTGCCACCAATTTAAAAATAATCATTTACCTTCAAAGCATTGAACCCACCTTGTTATTTCTTACTGATTTCATATCTAACACTAAATATCTGGATCTAATGCGTAAATATATTATCTTATCAAACAGAGGACAAGATAATTGATTTTATTGCTTTGATGTGAATCTACAAATTCAGCCGTTTCTGCGTACAATCAGACAACCGACACATGAGTGAACATACCTTAGCTTGGTTAGGAAAAGACCAGACGAAGATAATGCACAGCTCTATCTTCCAGTAGTCGTGTGGTAGATAAATCTTAATCAATTTCAGTGATCTATCGTGAACTTTCATTATTTTCTAATGGGCTTCCATTCCGTCTCCTACAAATAGCAAAAGCTTCAGGGATCCGAACGTATAATACTATTATAAGCGTTCAGAAGTATTTAGTGACACCACTGTCACATCATTGGCCTGTTATCACTAAACATACGACTTCATTGATTTTTTTGCATCGTGTATCCGTTTACTGCTTTTCACCTCCTTCTGTCTATTTTCTTCACTATGTATATAATTACACACTCTCTACTACACAATTTTAATTATGTTTGTTGATTGCAATTTTAAAGTCCATTTATCTAAGCTTGACCTATTTTCATTGTCTAACTACTGACTAGAACTTTTGTCATTTCTTTTTTTATCACTACTAGTACACCTTTATTCTTCTTATTGATCAGTACTTTCTAATGTGTAGTTGGACAACTCATTTCGTTATGACTATTGACTCATAAATTGCTTTGATTAGTTTAGTGTTTTTATTAACTCATACATCCATGTATATTAAATTAAAGTTTGATGAAGATCCAAATGAAAACAATACTGTTCGACTATATGTATCACATTATTATTGTGCTCAACATAGATTATATATTTTCATTTTAGTCATTAACCTTGCAATTTCATTTGATACAGGGGACATGTTGAAGTTGACACTGCATATTAATCGTTTCAGCATTAAAAAGTTTCATTTTATTTTATAAACAAGTCTGAGTTTCTATGAATATTCGTCAATATACATCAACAAAATTGGTTGTAGGAGAGTTGTAACAGTAGTATAGGGAATGGGAACAAATAATCACCAGGTTAACAAATTTTTGGGTAAATTTTGTTTCATTTACGTGATCACGAAAACATACAGGTTTCAGTTTTGACTCATATGCACTTTGAAATCATTTAGCAAATTGTTAAGTGAAACGGTTTACATTCATACAACAATCATGTTGAATAAATGATGTCAGTTCAAACAATAGGTGTAAATAATAGAAAATGCTTTAGTTATTTTGTTATCTGATGGTAATATAGATTCTAATATACAGATGGAATATCATTAAATTACTGACCTGGTTTAAATAAACCATCTGAAATCACGAAAAAAATACTTATTTGAAAAATAAGTAAAAGTGAAAGGAGTAGACGGATTGTCATTTGAAAGATTTAGATCATTAGTGATTATTTTACATAGATTGTAGTCTGTTATTTGGGTTTACATTAATAAATAGTGTCAAATCTCCTAAAGACAAAAATATAAAGATGCTATATGATATGATAGTAGTTATAATAATAATAGTAATAATCGACAATTAGCATTTGTCGTTTGGGTTATAAAATGAATGAAATCTTCTTACTTCATTACCACCTTGAATAATGTAATGAAGGCACAGAAAGTTTTCTTAAGGAAAATGATTTGTACATCCTTCCGTTTTCTAAGATTTTAATTAGCATATTCGTTACAAGATTTAGAGGGAAGATGTCCAAATACGAACCAAACACACACTAAATCAGTCCAAGAAATCAATTTGATTTCATGGTAATGTGGGTTCTATTCAGTAGAAGGCATCAATCCATAAGATAATTTCGATTAAAGTATATTCAAATCTCTGCAGTTAAATAATAAAATTAACAATTTGTGATAACTTGTATTGTTTTTATATCAGAAATATCATGACAACTTACGGGTTATATTTGTGTAATTGAGTTTTCAAAGTGTCAATATATTTCGCTCTACGGATGTAGAATTCATTTGTGTAATAATTGTCCTCTCGAATAGGGTACTAAATATTATTTGTGTAAAAAAACATTGACAGAGATCATTTAAAAGATGTTTAAAGCACGTTCTATACATTCTGTTTTCCAGTTTATTGAGTAAGTATTTCTGAATCAAGGGTTTTGGAAATTGCAGTGTAATTTAAGCAACATTTCGGATTTTCATTGTCAAACCAATCATTGTCACGTAAATTGACTTTCCTCAATTTGTAACGCCGAGTTACTGAAATGGTTTGACTAATACATAAAATTGTGCGATTAGTCCTCGTGTGATTATAAATTTTCTCACTTGTACTATTACGAGATTATAGGTGATGATTTCGTACACGCATCAAAGTAGTTGAATTATGGTGAGATTGATGTGCAGTTTTTGAGGATCAGCAGATTGGTCCATAAATTGACTCATGTATTTGGACCTTTTAGGGTTTAACCTCTGAGTTGCCGAACTGCAGAATAAAGACCAGTGAGTTGGGGTTTCTCTGCCACGTAATGATTGAGACAAACCAATGTTGTTTGGAAATGTGAAATATGCTTTTCTTACACCAAGTGTTATCAATGGTGAGTTCTAGAAATAACGGTGTCTTGTAAGTTTCACGTGTCCCCTCCGTGATAACCGGAGTTATTTTGTGTAGAATTAGCTTATTATTATATACAATGATAGATAACATAACCAGTTTTCAATAAAATAATCATTAGTTGTATCAAATGGACATGTAAAATAATTTATTTTTCAATAGTGAAATAAGTGTAGTTAACTTACTTGGAATACTGTTGAGAGCTTTTCTTTTTGTTGAGAAGCATTTTGATTGGAGTACAAGGCAAATATGCTCAGTTTTGAAACCTTGTCTTGCAAAAATGGCTTTTCTGTCTCACCCAACCAGTTGAGTTTTGATATTGAGTCAATTACAGTGAGTTTAATTTCGTTAAACATATTGATCACCTGTAATTCAGTTAAAATTAACCACACTGAGAAAGTTTGTGTCATGTTTGAAAATTGTTACGAACAAGTTACAAACGCAAAAGAGATAAGTTGTGAGATTCAAATATGAGCATATCTTAGGTGTGAGCCAAGCAACTCAGTAATGAGATCATGGCAAGTGGTTGTCCTATAGCAACTGTCCTACAACCAATTTCGATTATGGTTAATTTTCGTTAAGCTCTTTTATTGACTTACTTGACAAACAATGTTATTTGAACAGTAACAATTTGCATATCTCTTTGTACCGTTATGATCACTAGATCACATGACAGACTCTAGCTAAAGTGTTAATATCTTGAATGTCACTCGGTGATTTATCCTCCTCCCCATGTATGCATGTACTCAAATCCTATTATTAGTCCTTACTTTGTCGTGCTGTGCACTTATTCGATTTGACCATAAATTTGCTTCTGTATTTGCTCGCATAAACATATTCGCTACTCTGCTTCAAATTCGTTTGATATACTAATAGCATTGTGATCTGCGCTATCTGCTAATAAACTGTAATTGCCGCTTCTCATTGCCTTCTGATTTCAAACAACGTTGAGGTTCATTTAATAACGGTTACGAAGGTGATTGATTAACAAATGTATGCCACTACAGTATGATGGATTTTGGTTTTTCAAATCGACCATTGTTCTCTGTTCATCAAGAATATGTTTTTGATATTTAAATTGTGTACCAATATACAGTCTAGCAGAGTAGCTTAACAATATCATTTGGATGGATATTAGAATCTGTATTTCAAATGGATTTGGTGAGAAACATCGTATACAGGTGATAAAAACATTTTGAATGGTTACGAGCGTTTAACTTACATCATAGTTAGTTGCCTACTCTTACTAAATTGTATTGTGTTAAACTTAATCTTGGCAATGTAATGTAGTGTTTACAATAATAAAGTCTCATCCCATATTGTTCAAATGATTATTGCACAGTGTAACCCCTAGATCTCAAAAGAGACCACACCAGTGATCACAATTCGTAGGGATTCTGAAGATTATTTGAAAAACAATCAGCAGATTTTCACCGAAACTGTTTTTTTCGAGAAAAGTGGTTTGAGTTGACTGTCTTACCGAAACCAGGTCGACATTGGAACTATGTTGATCATGTGATGTAATTCATGTAGGAACGTATATCCGAAATCGAAAGCATAATTTTACAACTGTTGAGGGACAGTTTTGTAGGTGATGGCGAAAGTATGAAAGTGTTTTGGAAATTCTCATGAATTAACATCAAAGTAACCCTAATTTTCGCATCATAAAGTTTTTCAGTACGAAAAGTAACCAAGATCAATGTTATTTAACACAAATTTCGTTAGAAAATATTTTTAAGCTGAGCCTTTAAGTTAATATGCTGATTATCACTTTGTGTGAATATAAGTCATTTGATGTGGAGTGTGCTCTAAATTGTGCTATTTGGCGATATTTATTTACGTTTGTGTAATTCAAATCGAAAAGCGTGGTAACCTCTTGAACTCCGCCTGTAGCACTTCTAGGGCTACAGTCTGTCTCAAGCCCACACAAAGGAGAAGGGTTATCCATGCAGCCGGTAACTCCAAACCGTAGAACACAGCCTTGGTAAGAGCGCTAACCAGAATAAACAATTTTAACCACTTAAATTCTGCCCTGGAAGTTGAAGGAAGAATTATTACATCTCATGATGAAGGCCGAGATTCTTCGGAAGTTATGATGTCGATGCACCTTGTAACAACCAGAGCAACAATTTTATGGGTACATTGAATATCCGGTTAATTTAGGAGACCGGACAAACTAATCAAATAGGAACAGAAACGAGGAGATGCAACTTGTTAGTACTCGGAATCAGTGAAACCCACTGGACACAAGCTAGACAGAAAAGTTTAGGTGCGCTGTTCTTCAGTCAAGAAGAGGGAAATGCTTCACACATTCAAGCAGCTGATTTGGTGATGTCCAAAGAAGCACGAAATGAACATGTAGTGTGGGAATTTCATCGATACGGGATCATCAAGGCATCCTTCAAAACAAAGAAGGTGGAAATTACAATAGATGTAATTCAGTGTTATACAACCAACAATTATAGCAATGACAATAAAAAAACATCAGTCCTATTCGAGGCTGCAATCGACCGTAGCGAAGTGTACAGGAAAGAACCCGACTATTCTTATGAGGGATCTAAATGCCAGAGTTGTTATGGACGACAACAGTTATGAAGATATTATGAGACGACATGGACTAGAGGAAAGTAAACATAAGAGTTAGTGATTTGCAAATCGAATCGGTTATAAGTGGCACAATATTCCCACACAAATGCATACGCAAAGCTATATTAGTCTTACCAGACCACACCACAAAGAACCGGATAGATCATATTTGCATCAGGAAAAATTCATAAGGTCAATGGAAGACGTGAGAACCAGGAGACGAGCTGACATAGCTTCAGATCATAATCTACCTGGCGGTTGTCAAGATGGGACTGAAGCTAAAGAAGGATCAGACAACTGGACATACAACACAACAAAGGTTCAATACAGCCTTCCTTTGAGACGCTGACTTACTCATTGAAGTCATGATAACTCTGAACAACAGGTTCCAAGCCATATAGGATCTACTGAAGGAAGACGTTACGATGAAGGACAACTGGAAAGAGATCAAAAAAGCACTAAACGTATCAGGAGGTTATGGGCCGTAACAAACATCATCATAAGGAATGGATCTCTGTCAAAATCCTGAACAAGATTAAAGAAAGGAAGGACAAGAAGATAGCAATTAAGAACAGCCAAACAAGAACAGAAGTCTAGGCACAAGTTGGACACACAGAAGCAAACAAGAAAATGAAGAAGAGCATTAAAGCCGACAAGCAGAAATACGTGAAGTAGTTAGCAAAGACAGCAGCAACATCTACAAGTGAAGAAAACATGAAACAACTATATGATACGACGAAGAAACTGATAGGGAAATATATAGTAAAATAGAGAAACTGGTTATTACAAAGAAGGTAAGCTGATCACTGAAATTCACGAACAGTGGGAAAGATCGATGGAACACTTATAAGAACTCTTAAATACACCAACCCCATTAAATCCATCGCATATCAAAGCAGCACACAGAAATTCCTATAGACGTCACTCCACCAACGATCAAAGAAATCATGATGGCCATCGGACAAATCAAGATTGGGGAGGCAGTACTTGAAAATATACCAATCGAAGAACTAAAGTCAGACTCATAAAGAACTTCAAACATGCTCCACACTCTATTCAGAAAGATTTGGGAGGATGAACAGGTGCCGACAGACTGAAAAGACGGACACTTTATCAAATTACCAAAGAAAGGAGGTCTGAGAAAATGTGAGAACAACGGAGGTATTACACTACTTTCAATATCAGGAAAGGTTTTCAACAGTGTTGCAAAGTAGAAACAGCATTCCTAGAATTAAAGATCATATGGAATTCAAAACAAATGTAAACCAATATCAAAGTCAGAATCTTCAATACAAACGTGAAGACCATCACCGAAAATGTACAAGTATTTATAAACAATTATCTACACAAGATATTGAGTATCTGTTGACCGGAAAGTATCAACAACAGCCTACTGTATGATAAAATAAACTAACTCCCGTCTGAGTAGGAATCTTTAAAAAACTTTTGAAGTGAATAGGATACAAATTAAGGAAATTGCCGAACTGCATCACGAATCAAGCGCTTACTTGGAGTCTTGAAGTGTAATGGAAAAGAGGGAAGCCAAAGACGGCACCGCGTTGGGAATTGGAAGGAGACATGAAAAGAATGAATACCAACTGGAAACAACTTGAAAGGATGGTCAAGGCAGAGTTGGATGAAGAATACTGGTGAGTGGCCTATGTTCCTCGACGAGAGGTAACAGTTGAAAATAAGTATAAATGGCCGTATGTTGAGTAAATAGGTGTTTCTGACAGTATTCCAAATAAATAATTTTAATTTCGATTATTCTCAAACCATACTCTTGAAAAAAATTTACGAGCTATTCAGATTCGACCACAATAATATCTACAAATATTACTTTTAATATAATTGATGTTTAGAATGAAAAAATAGGACATTTCCAATAATTAACTTCCAGTGTTTCCAGGTTTTCATGGTGGTTTAGCCTCAATTGACTCATGATCTCAACTGTTGAAATTACTACAATCTCCACAAAACCCCCTCTGATACAAATTTATTTGGCATTTGAAGATTTTATGGTATTTTCACTGTTGAAGTCAAAAACTGATCTTAGCTAGACTACTATTGAAAACTTGTAAGCACTGAGCGGCCGTTTTAACATGGTGTGGAACTATATGTTCACTAATGACTAGCTTCAATTCGTAACTCTTGGGGATCTAGTGACAAGACGTGGCCAGTAGTGTTCAATATGTGCTTAATGTAAGTCAGTTATCCACCTCAGCGGTAGATGGACGGTTTCCCAAGGTCATGGATTTAGTAAAGTTAGACATTGACACCCTCAGATGCCGAAAGGTGTAAAGCGCCCGTGCGTAAGCCCTATGGTCCTGAGTTCGATATTCGAATGTGGATTTGCACTGCTGTGGAGTCCCATATTAGAACGAGACGCCAATTTAGTGCTTACAGGCTTTCAATGGTTGTTTGGCTAAGGTCAGTCCGTGCTTTCAATATCGACAAATTTATTTATAACAAAACTCACATTGCTTAAATCGACCAACATTTGAAAAGCAATTGTTAACTGTGATTGCTCGAAATGAGGTACTCCTATTCCAAATGCAAGCTTGTAGTAATCCTCTTCGGATTTATCCATATCAGTCTGTTAAATAAAGTTTGGAATGTCTTTTACTCAAACTGAAATAT